ACTGAGGAAAAACAGAAGGGCCTGGGGCCAGTAGGGGCGGAGGGTGGTGGTGGTAGGGGAGTGCGAGGAGTCCGAAGACCTCAGTTTTCTCCGGTGCAGCAGCCTTTAAACAAGTCCCTTCAGCAATCTGGGCCTAATTTGCTTCCATCTCAAATTTCCAAGATTTCCTTAAGCGTCTGCATAAAGAGCACCTGGGGCAGGGGTGTGGAGGAATTTTTCGACTCCTTAGTTCCCTCGTTTTATTTACAAACCCCCCAAGATCACTTCAAACGTGAGAAGGTGGTTGTTGTGGGAAGAGCTTTGAGAGTCTCCACGATCACCTGTTCCCTCCACCCCCTCCCCCCAAAAACTGCACAAACAATGGCCTGCAACTGGGCAGGTTTCTCCAAGGGTTGCTGGGGTTACACGCAGGGCAGAAGGTGGCACAAAGCAGGTGGAACTCACCGGCTGGCGCCCACAGTCACATGAATCCACCTCTGCCACACTGCAGAAAGCTGCTACAGGGCTGGAACCCATACCCAGCAGCTTTCAAATGATTCTCAGAGGGATCTGTGATGTCTCTAGGGTAAGAAGCATTGTATCGGAGGGGAAGATTTGACCATGATCACCCCACCCCCACTCAAGAAACAGAGTAGGAAGCAAAAGGAAGTGCCCAGACTCCGCTGATTTTTCCGTACGGTTTTGATCCAAACGGGTAAACTGCCCCAGTTCACTTTGGCTTGTGCACTCACTGAATCGTTTAATGAGGATTTTACAGCATGGATTCATAGAATCTTCAAATTATAGAATTTTAGAAATGCATTATCAGAATAAAGCATTTATGGAATAGGATCTTAATGTCCTTTGTTCATGAAGATCATAGAATTATGATCTGGGGGCTCTGGTCTCAGGATGCTAAGATCCTGGTCTCCCTCACGCTGCAGCAGTAAAGTTTGAGAAAGAGGAATCTGAATTCTGGAAGAATTGGGTCACAAACACGAGACACTAAGAATCAAGAAATCCTGAGACATGGAGGCTTTTAACTATAGTCACTGGAGCTTAAAAGTCATGGGACTGATTATTAAAGCATATGATTCTGAATATTAGAATCAGATTCTTTGAATTTACAGAACATAGTACTAGTATTTTGAAATTAAGGAAGAAGTCAATGATTTATAGAACCCGAATTTTCCAATCAGGCATTCCTAGACAGAAATTCAAATTAAATAATATATATCTTAGAGCTGCAAAAAGAAATCTAAAAACTGGGAAGCGGAAGATTCCAGTAGTAGGCATCAGATTTTCACGCACAAAATCCTAGTCCCAGCATCTTAAAATATGCCGAGTAAGTAGGCTTTTGTACTTTGACCAACAGAAGCTTAAAGTCATAGGAATACAATCAAAGTCAAAGGATTTAGACTCTTCATGGAGTCTTAGAATTACAAAAAACCACATCCTTAGATGTATGAAATCGCAACGTTAGGACGATGGTTTCAGAATTTAAAATCTGGAAATCCAAATCTCAGAATCTTGGAAGTACGGTCAAACAACTACAGAAGCCCGGCTTTAAAAGGTCCCTATGAGATAATCCGGTTAAAGTAGAAACTTCTCTTTTTTCCCCCACTTTGGAAAAAACGAAAGAGGACATCTCCATGTTCACATCTTCCTTACTTTCGAAAAAGGAAGCTGGGACCTTTGTTAAGCGAGTGAAAAGCTCTCCCTTTATTTGTTGGAGCATCCCCTGGCTCCACGAAAACGGTGCAACCTATTCCGCACACAGGTAGGCAGAGCGCCGCGGATCTGGGCTCTTTGCCTCGTTCTCCCGAAAGCAGCTGCCCGGTGTTTGGCCCGACTGAGCCTGCCCCAACTCTGCGCCACGAAGAACACGGCAAAACCTGAAAGCCATGTCGTCCGCTTCTGACCAGAGCCCTCTGCTTGGGATCTCCAGCGCTCCCGCGGCTCTGCCTCCCGGGAAAACTGCGTACTGGCTGTGGCCTTGGGAACCCTGGTTGTGCAGTGGTTCAGGTGCTCGGCTACTAACTGAAAGGTCGACGGTTGAAGCCACGAGCCACTTGGCGAGAGAAAAATGTGGCAGTCTGCTTCTGTAAAGATTTACAGCCTCGGAAACCCTACGGGGCAGCTCTACTCTGTCCTATAGTGTCACTACGTCAGAATCTACTCAATGGCATGGGTTTGATTTGGTTTTGGTCTTTAGCTGGGGTCTCAGGAGCTGGCACCAAGGCTGGTAATCTGACGCTACAAGGGGCCTCAGAGATCCGCGTTTGCCCTCCCGCCCCCAATTCACAAAGTGGAAAACTTAGAAGGGGGAAGGGACAGGTCCGAGGTCTCCCCGCGAATGGCTGCGGAGAGGATCCTGGCCAGTGGGACTGTAGTTACGGGGAGTCTTTCGGAGCCCGGAGGAAAAGGACTCAGAAACCCGAAAACGGCGAAGCAAACAGGCCCAGTCGGCTCGCCCCATCTCTTAGGAGACACGTCCACCCGGCACAGCTCCCCCACCCCCACCCCGTCAGAGCCACAGGGGTGGGGGTTCTTTGGAGCCACCCCAGGAGTCCTTCTTGGACTGGGGGATTTGGAGGAGGAGGTTACCATAATAGAGCTGGAGCTTTCCCATCCTCGCCTGTAAGCCGTGCGCCACTCTCCATTATAGAGAGGGGTCTGGAGTCACCCAAAGACGGATAATTAGAGGAGGAGGATTTCCCCTAAATATTGACAACGGAAGAATTCTTGAGATTCAAACCCTCCGAACAGTCGAGGTACTTGGGACTCAGAGAGTGAAAGCGTCTGCTTTGGGCACACCGCGAGGAAGTGTAGTCCTACTGGAGAAGCAGGTTCCGGGCAACGCTAAGCGGCCAAGTCGTGGTAAGACCATAGATTTTCACCTACTCTCTCCGAACCTAGGAATCCTTGTCCGGAAAATGAGGGGACTGGAGAATGGGGTGTGGGCAGGCAGTCTTGACTGGGGTCGAAAATCCTCCTGAAAAGACCTTGGGAAGCAGTTACCAAGGGGCAAACGACTTCTCCTTCCCCGTCCCCATTCCACAAGCACCAAGCACTCCCTCGGCCCCAAACAGCCCCTTCCCAACTGGTCCAATTCTCACCCTCTCGGGACAGAAATGCGAGGCGAGTCTTTCCTTTCACCTGTGGGTCCCAGCCCTCGCCAGAATCCAGAGAAGGTCGGAGGCTGCGTTAGGCCGCCGAGGTCTCCGGAGCCAGTCCCTGGCCTCTCCAGGCCTCAGTCTCCCGGTCAGCGGCAGAGGAGCCGCCCCGGGGGATCTCCCAGTACCCCCCTCGCAGGTCGTTGAAGGGCTCCAGCCGCGCCGCCACCTGGGGAGGTGCGCCCGGGTCCGGGGGGAGGGAGTGGGTAGTCGGGGGGCGGGCAGGAGCGGGCGCCGCCCCAAATTTCTCCGCGCCTTTAAGGAGAAGAAGCCGGCGGAGGGAGGAGCCGGCCGGTGTGCGGACGAGAGCGCCTCGGCAGCGGTACCGGAGCTAGCAGCGCTGCGCAAAGGTTAGAGTCCCACGGCCCGGCGTGGCCCATCAGCCAGCCGCCCTCCTGGGCCCTCGACCCGACTTCATCGCCGGGCCTCGCCTCCCTGTCCGCGGTGCGGCCCGCAGCCTCCGCCGCCGGGGGCACGCCATGGACGGCCCTCTGCCGAGCGCGCCGCGCCTGTCTTAACCGCCCTCGCTTCGAACCCACAGCCTCCTCCGCGCCCACAACCTCGAAGGGCAACCTCGGACCAGCGGAGACGCCAAACCACCTGCAGCGGCCCCCGGCCCGGGGACCATCTCCTGGCGCGCCCGAGCCCGTGACCTCCTGGCACCAGCGCGCATAGGACCTCTTAGCCCGCGCTGGGGGCTAATCCTGGTCCCTGCGCCGCCACCTGGCCTCGAGCTCGGAACACGAGTAGAGCCATCGACGAGCGGAACACTCCCGAGCCTGAGCCGCGCCGGTCCGGAGACAGCGGGCGCTGAGTCCCCAGCACATCTGTCCAGGAAGCTGTACTCCCCCGGTGCCGGCCCGCGGAGCCCCGGGAGCTCTCTGCAGAAGGGCCCAGCACCCCCGTCGGGGCCCCCTGCGCCCGGGATCTGCGTCTCCCAGGTGCGCCTTCCTCCTGACCCTAGACAGCGGCGAGCGGTGCGGACGTCTCGGGGACGCGGGCCGAGCGCGCCA